TCTGCCACTCAGTGTCGCACTCTGACACAGCAATTTTTTCAAACATCGGCCATTTTGTTTCACCATGAAACCGTTTTATTAGATGTCTATCAGAGACACTTGAAGGATTAGCTTGTTTGTAAACTGTCAGCGTGTACAGTGGGACAGTAATGTTGTCAGAGGATTATCTTCGTTGTTCGTTTGCATAACAATGGAAAACCCGAACGTTCCTGAGTACGGACTCAAATGCCAGCAGTTTTCTTCATTTTTCACGCTCGAGCTTGAAATTATTCATTATCTGACACTCTTTATGAGTTCTATGATATCAGTGGTTAATATGTTTGGCCATTTTTAGTGTATATTTATAATAATGCAGCAAATCTACAGTGTTTTATTAACCAAAACTGTTTTTCGCGTTTTTCCCGAGTTGAAGTTTTGATTGAGTACGACTCATTGGGACCGCCGCCAAATCAAGTGCGTTCGGACTAGGACATTCAAACTCGCAGTTATCGTTCAAAAGATAATGATGGTGCGAATATGTCTGGGTTTTTAAAGAAAAGGCTTTGTCGCAGTATAATAGTCTGTTAAAGGTGCCAAGTATGAAATATTTAAGGACAAAAAAAAAAACCTGCATAGAAATCGGAATAATAGCTCTTTTGATTATCGGAGACGCATTTCAATGGACTTGATTACGGACAATGCATGACGTAAATTTCACCAGGAAATTCCGCAGTGTGCTCTCGCAATCGCGGACTTTTTTTTTATTTTTACAAGGTTCGCCATTTTTGATGTCACGTGATAATTATGTAAACAATGACTGTCCAGTTTGTGCGAACTTGTACCTCTATACTTAGTCTTTTGATATATATAACCTAAATTACTGTTCTGAACGAGACAACAGACAGAGAATGTTTTATTTAAAAACGTCACAAAACCCTTCGTGCTACCTTAATGCATGAGAAATGGAATGAAAAAATGTGCGACATCTTTGGATTTTAAAAAGCTGCCATTCGACCATATTGAATCAGATCATGAAACAAATGCATGTTATATGTACGATGTATGTGTGAAGTCAGATATATGGGTCTGGGGCTGAAACAAATGTATTTGCATACTTAGTCCATTTAAGGACTGATAAAGTCAGAATATACTAAGGTTGGGAAAAATATGACAAAGCCAGTGACATAAGGTCAATATGGTTTTTACACACATACATAGATCAATGTATACAGTACATAAATTAATGTGCTATACAAGAGACAATTGGTCTTTGAGCATTCACAACAATTAATTGTACAAACGAATTATATATGAACCATGAAGTTAAGACCAAGAAGAGAACATATCCTGCCCTACCGCAACCATCTGCCATATATTAATCTGAGTAGTTGATTTATGACAGGTAATTCTACATGGGGCAAATTAAGTTGAAACAATCAGAGATCATCTACCTAAGTGATTTGTCATAATTTGACACCAGTTCATCAGCCGTGAAACGCTTGAATGTTGAGATAAGACGTTCTTGTAAATAAAAACAGCTGGACATTCTTAACAACGTTCTAAAGAATGCGTGGGAGTTTGATAACATTTGCCCACGTGTCAGATGCGAGAACTAGATCATCTGCATAATCTGCATTTGTAATCTTCTCAGTTGGGCAGCGGTTTAATCTTTCTTCTGAGAGAGTAAATCCCATGTCATTAAGCTTATCTAGAGATGTGCAAAGTACATAGTCTAGGGTGATGACAAAAGAAAAAACGAGATTTTGTGTGGTCCAGTTTTGTTTTTTCTCACTTCAGCTAGTTCTTTTAGTGTATAATTTATCAGTTTTATATAAAACACCGTAACATTTGAGTATAGGCTGTATCACTTGTCTACACTTTGTGTGTGCACAGTTATCGGTTGACAAGAAACAATAACGGCGTTCTTTGCTATTGTTGCTCATGTTTCTTGTAAGCAATGTTATCACAGCAATCCGACAGTTAATCTTGTTCAGTGAGCAGTATTTGTTATTTAGCATTTGCATTATATAAATGACGTCAGTGTGAGACGGCCTATAATGCAATGTTTTTCGACTTTTTGTTTATGAGCATTATTTACCTTTTTTGCATTTTAGCATAGGATATGAGAGAAGCCAGTAATTTTGACTGCTTTTTTTGTTTCAACACATCGTCACGTAATTCATATCACCTCCAAATAGTGGAATGTTACGTTTAATCAAAGAGCTCTTGGCAGAATAAAGAGACATCTTCTTTTGTTTGTTACTACTGAAGGTTACAATAACCACTCTGGGAAGGGCCATCTCAGTGACTTAATGTTCGTAAGTGGGACATGTACTGATATATGCCGTGAGAACATTTTAATGCATTTAAATTATATTAACATATCTTAAATTTAATTAAAGTTGAATTAAACTTGACAGGATGCCTTTTGATTGAGTAATGACTATATACAAAACACAAACTTAATTTATAACAGTTTGTGTAGGTTAGGGTTAAAGAAAGGGAATAAGATTTGTATATTTTGTACCAACCTACTCGTTGTCTATAAGCGTTATTACGCAAACTTGTGATAAATACTAATTTCATTTCTTTTCAGAGATTGCCAAATGTTCCTCAGACATCTCCAGAAGTTTCTCCTTTTGAGGTGTTTAAACATAGAATTGACATTGACACATATAGGGTAACCACAAACGACATGTCACAAGATGCATAATTGTCAGCTTCAGTGAAATGAAGCAAATTTTATGAACAAGCAGATTCGCCACATACTGTTCACAAGGCATAACATACAAACAAGTGTTCAGACAATCGAAATAGCTCTGCTTTCCTACAACAACCCCAACAACAAAATGCAGTTAATCCACAAAATAGCAGTTTGATTCTGTTTTTTAAGAACATGCCAAACCTTATCACAAAAATTACGTACACATCAAACATCAAAGCAATCAGGCTGCTAGTTTGAACATATCTTTATTGACCAGAAATGACGAAAATTTTCGCTAAAAATAGAGATTTAACAATATTGATATCAAATTAACAAATCTGATAGACGTCCACCCAATGTGCTTACATGTAACATATCAAAGTGAATAGGTTGAATAGGTAATTGTTGACAGAAAATGAACAATAACAAACAATGACCTATACGAACAGCTCTGCCCTGTGCTCTATGATGACAGTGGAGCTAAAAAGTATACTATTAAAATGCACAATGATATATTCATAATTGGTGCTATTTCAGCAATAGTTTCATTTTTCAGTGTGAAACTATGCATGTGATAAATTCCTTTATCTAGTGCTCAGATTGATCTAAAATTCTGAGAGTAATCACATATACCTGAGAACGTAAACCGAAGAGGATACACATAGCTTTGCGGTATTTTACCTGTATCGAAAATAACATATTAAAGTATTTGAAAATCATGATATGACTTGAATAAGAGGGCCATCAGGCTGTAAAACTATTTTGGCAGTTAGCATTAGATGATCTGATGGATAAAGCTCCTCTGGTAGGATGGAATTAATCGAGTCAATCATGTCGGAGAAGCTGCGAGAAGCGTAAATTACTAAACATATCATAACGACAGTAGAAAGGATGATCTGAAACAGTGCCGGGAATCTACAGAGGGGCCACAGCTTAGCTAAAAGTCGACACAACCGCCAACGAGAACGATGCATGCCACCAGACGTGGTGTACAAGCCAGGGTAACATAGACAACAGTTGCACCCCATTGACTGCATCATCTGCTGGTTCTTTTTGTTCAGAATAAACAACACTTGTAAGACTGCATACAAAAACTGAATAAAAAATATTGCAAAAACCACTATGATAAGAAGCATGTGACGATAAACATCATTATTGCACTCAAAACATTGCGGTAAGTGACAAGATTGTTTGTTACCACCAGAAACGCACACTCCACACCGACAGGATCCATGTGGCCCACAGTCATGGCTACACGACCGACCAGCAATACCAATGGAAGACAAATATGCCGAATTGATCACTGTGTGTAGACGATTCCACCAAATACGGTCAATGAATTGCTCTCGGTATGACTGGCCATCTCCTAGTATATTCACATCTTTCACCATCAAGTCATTTGCAGAAACCAGGATACGATCTGGACGACTCTCCATTCCAGGAGCAGGCTGAAAAGGGATACAAGCCATTAGAAACATTTCAATGATCAACATTTTAAACATACAAATATCCTTGTGAAACTAAATTGATATAGTAGTTTATGAACCACATTTAACATGTCATTATAAAAAGTATTTAATTATAGTGAGCGAAAACAATACATTTTATTTTCAAATATCAAAAAATATAGTTCTTGCAAAAAGTAGACAATGAGATACAAGAGATATAACACATCATACAATGTGCACAATACATCAACTCATTGACTCGTGATGATACTTGGCTAAGTGAAATGTGTATAATGCAAACCCCGTTTAAAATGGAAATCAATGAATGTCTAATGATGGTGGTAATCATCACACGTTTGAACAATGTAATTTACATGCATTGTTGTACAAAATCCATATATTAGACTTTTGAATGATACAACTTTATAATGTATGTCACTGGTAGCATCTCAGAAATCCGGAGTGGAGACCCTAAGGCAATTGGATCGACTACTAGTCGCCCTTCTGCCAACTCCTGCAGCCAAGCCGGCTCCAAACGTAGTGCTCTGCATTCCCTTGGACTTCGTCGTTGCGGAAGAGAGGGGAACCTTGTTGACTGGGCAGCACTAGGTTTCCATACACACATGCCCAGGCCTGTGCCCTGGAGAGACCATGAAGACTGAGCGCACTGACTCACTGGGCGCAAACCCATCGTCTCCCGAGACAGAAGGATGCCTACAATATGATTGTTTTCTGTACATGATCATCCCAGTATGCCAAAATACAGACTTCTAGGTTGGAAATGTACTTATTGTCTGCTCGTGTTGTCCACATTGCACCTGTTTCCGGCACATGCTGTGCAACATTATATGATTATGTCAGTTCTATTTTTTGTAAGACTTTAATAAAATTTTATAAGCAAGGAGAATAACTGCCATTTTGTAGCAGTTCTCATTTTACAGAAGTCTTTAGTACAGTGACTCAAAGTGATTTCCTTTATCTGTAGTGTATGCACTTACGTAAATGACATATTTAAGTAAATAAGTTGTATTTTAATGATTCATTACACAATAAATGCAATTCTCATTATGTAATTCTATTGGAGATGTACGTACATCGACATGATGATGTTATAGCCATATACATGTACTGAAGTTGTTTTATAATCACATAACATATTAAATTGCACGCTATGTAATTGCTGCTAATCGTTACCATTACATGACAATGTGTCTGTTCAACATTTCCAGTGCAAGTGCAATTATCAATAACAAAGTACACATGAATGGCTATTAACAAATAACAGAGAAATCCTTCTACATTATTATGACATACATAACAACACTATTCCTTATACTGAGATGGGTTGCTATGAATGGAACAGTTTTTTTTTGCAGACATTTCACAGTCATGGGTCTGAATGCTTGAATATGCTAGCCTTGCGCATGACAGTTTTTTTGAAATATCACAGCGAATAATACAGGATGTACATCAGGTTTAAAACATCATACCTAAGTAATACAGAAATTAATATTGATGATGATAATGATGATGTTGCAGTGTTGAAAACACTGATGTGGTAAATTATGCTAGCAAAAATTGTAAAAACAGTTATATTTTAAAATAAATCTGTATAAATCATTATCTTATCTAAAGTGAATAGTTTTCCAGTCTTGTCTCTATAGATTTGCTTACATAAGAAGTCATGGATAATTGAAATGTTAGCTAAGTGGAGTGAAGAGGTTAAAGTGGAGAGGTTAAAGTGGAGAGGTTGTCATCTGATAACATTGCAAGCTAAAAATGCAAAACAATGACATGTTATGGCTGTATTCCGCATGTGCAAGTGATGACTTCCTCGCTTTAAGGTTTAACCGTGTATTTATCAATAGGGCGTTTGTTTTTCAATCTGCAACTTCTAAATTCCTTTGAACTGCATTTTGTGGATGAAATTTTAATAAAGAAAGTATTTATCCTGATTGAGCAACGAATGTGATCACATGTGCATATCCTAGAAACAGTTAATGGTGAATGCATTGTCACGGTTGAGATAATCCAATATTGATTGTATAAATGCAAATACAGCGTTTTTAATGTTGACTCAATACCTCTGCATTGAAGGTTCATCTTCAGTCTTAAATTTGAACTTTTTGTTGCGAATAGAAATATACTGTTCTATGTGCTGAAGTACTTTTGGGTTCCACTTGATTTGACAGGCAAATAAATGTACTAGACTGTAAAGGTAATAGGGCAGTCCAGTAGAAATTCCTCGCACAGACAGACATACAGTCTAGTATAGAACATTTATATCTCATTTTTGAAGAAATGTGTGATGTTCTTATTGGAAGGAGGCAATGCATGACACACTTATCTGTGTCTTGAGCTTTGTAAGTCATTTTCACATGTTGTGCATTTTCCATCATCAATCATGTATAATTTCATCGTAATATCTAAGCTCAGCAGAAACCTGAGAGAATGTTTCTGAATCACGTATGTGTCATGTTTTTCGAAAATGTTGTCAATATAGACATAATGACTGAGTCAAGAAATAAAACAAGTTTTAAATAAAGCAACCAAAGATAATGAAACGAAAGTGGTACAAGTAAATAATATATGGGAAAATTCCAATCCAGCTGTTTCAGGCAGTATTTAGTACCCCTGTATCTAGTTAAACCAAACACAATATGTGGGTGGAGAGTGATGATATACATGGACTTGGTGGATCATACATCATCAAGTGTCAACAGCAGGTGGTGGCAAGCGATTTGTTTGAATCAAATCTCAAACATGCATAACCTTTTACAGAGAATTATGTGCAGATCATCAAAAATCACCATACTCATTGGTATTAGAATCATATTCGAATTAAAGGCATGAATTTGGGAAAGATTTCTGTTCTCACAGGATAACACATTTAGACATGATTGTGAATAGTTTAAAATCATGGATTGGGAAAGATCATGTTTGGACAGGATTACATGTTTAAACCAAAACATGCATTTGGACAAAATGACCCATTGCTACATGTTGTGTATGAATCGTGTGTGTGCTAAAATCATACATTTAGACAGGCAATATTACTAATTAAAAGCATATTACTATTATATATATATAACATGTGATTCAAATTCATAGCCATGGTAAAGCCACTGTAAGCAGATTAAAATCCTTTAATCAATCCATCCATCCATTTATGATCATCTGTTCGGACCAAAGTTGAACTAAAATAATTTGTTTGGATAGGATCATCCATATGAACTGGATCATCCATTCGGACAGGATAATTCATTTGCACAACATTGTTCACAATTACCATTTAGAAAGCTTATCTGTTTGAACAGATTCTGAATCAAGTTATTTGAGCAGAATTATCTGTTTGAACAGGATCATATTTGCACTAAAATCATCTGTTTGGGCAATAGCATTCATTGAAACAAGATCATTCATTTGAACAGGGTCATCCATTTTAGACAAGATCATTGGTTTAGACGCAATCTTCTGATTAGTCAGAAACATATTTGCACTAAAGATCATCTGTTTGAACAGGATGATTCGTTTAGACAGGATTATGTTAGCAATAATTTAAAATTCATTTGGAGAACATATCATCTGCTTGGACAAGATCATCTGTTTGGACAGGATTGTCCATTTGGATCCAGGATCACCCATTCCAAAAAGATCACTATGAGAACCATGTTTGCATTTAAAATCATCATCATTATCATTGACAGAATCATCCATTTGAACAGAATCACATGTTTTGGTGGGATTATCGTTTTGAACATACATTTGAAGATGGGAAGTGTAGTGGTTGATATTATTGATTTATTTCTTCTGGCAAATACATGTAGGTCACTTGAAAATGTGTCTTGTGTATCCAAGTCATGTAAATGTAAAACGAGACATCAACAAAATATGCACACGATATTTTAATGAGGAACAAAGGGTATGTTTGCCTATAAAATAGAAGGTAAGAAGGAATGATTATAAAAAAAATCAATATCTGAGACATTCCAATGTATATAGAAAACCACATGTATTCAATAGCAGGAACTGTACGTGAATGTGTTGCACAACTACAATATACATAATAACATTACATGACCCTATCTGCTCATCTCGTCCATCAAATAGAGATCTGAGAGATCAATGATTCATGTTTAAAATATCAATTGCCAGAATTCACTTTTTTGTTATCACGATCAATCCTCATCAAGAATTTCGAATTAACTGTGAGGCCTACTTTTTAGATCATTCCTTTTCCATCATGCTTATAATTAGAATTTGGAGAACAAGCTACAAAGCCACAGTCTGTAAAATATAGCAAATTGCATATTTTAAGTGTATTTTGACTATGCTGTAGCATTGTATATATCATGACAGGAAACAGTCCCTGTTGCTTTTAATGAACGTATGTACTTGATAGCATGTGTACATATATGTACGATGTAAGCTTGTGATGAGCGTATTCAGCCAATCGCGGTGTATTATATTTTGATAGCTTAGCAAAATCATGCAACAGCTTTGACAACCAAATCCATCAATGAATACCTGAAATATGATTCCAACATCAGCTTGATATTGTTGCATTATTTATTTGATTGACACTTACATGTATATGACAGACTTGAGACAAAGTAAAAATTAGTTGTGTGATTCCTTCCTTTAATAATATGTACATGATATTTATGTCTTTATTATTTATTCTAACTGACACACTCATATTACAAATTGAATAAAAACTGGAGTCAGTTGTGGCTAATTAGAAACAGGTAATAAAAATCATGACACAAATACTCATGTTAATGTGTTGTCTGATGGAAAATGGCTGCCATTTGGCCATCTTAAATTGGACCATGACACAATAGCATACTGATGTATGTGTGATCAGTCAAGTCATGTATTAAAGATATAAATGTATATCGATCCGAAACTGCATTCTTTAATACAAAATGGCCAATTTGAACTTGACCAGAAAAAAAATTATGTGCACAATAAAGGTTCAATGCTTGTACTAAGTTTAA